CCCGAAAAGCTATGTGAGGAAACGAGGATTTAAGTATTGCCAAAGCTCACAAATATTCACACAGCCTGTTTATCAACTGCTCCGCCTATGATGAGGTAATAAGTATTGACGGTGAAGGTTTGGGTGTCTGGAAGCATTGAAGGCATCTGCTTACTTCATATTAGTATGGCCGAGAGACTGCCTGCGAAAAATTTGGTTATCGCGTCCTAAAGCTAAATACATCGTTTTAAAGTCAAGAATTTCCAATAACTCAAATTATTTGAGTATTGTTAGGTCTATAACAATCCATTAGCAAAATTCCAAGGTATCTTTGGGATTAATTTTTATTGTGAACCTTTGTTTTTTCAATTATGAACCAGGCGTGCACTCACCCAGAACACATACATATATTAAGCTTGCGCTTGATTAGCAATTAAGAAACAACGGTTGACAATACTAATACCCCTCTAATGCTTTGAGCTTTTGTTAATGATTGATAGCAAAATATGTGTCACTAAAATCTCTGTCTTTTCATATTATTTTTAGGAGTCGAACATCGCGCATTCTGCACCGTCTCAAATATTAAATCGTCTATCTCGAAAACTGTCAAACTTCATAATCTGTATACAGAAATGAGCCTCGCCGCATGCAGATTCGTTGAAAGGATTTTTTGAATCAGAATATACAAAACATAGAATTATATTTTTCCAAGCTGATGAAAAGACACTTCATGTACTAAATGTATTTCCAACCGTTCCATAATGGCAGCAGTGTTTCACGGCTAAGCATCCCTCGCGATCCAACTTTTATGCCCAAGCGATGATGATTGCATTTTATATAACCCTTTTGTTTTCTGTTTGTCTTTCCCGACTGCTTCATCAACTGTCAATGACATTGGGACGTTTCCATTTTGGACGCGTATCAGCGAAACAATGGCACATCATATACAATAATACACAGCAGTCTGACTGCCTACGATATAAGTGGCAAGTAGAACCAACGAATTCAAATAGATTAAAAGGAACCATGGCTAGATGTTTACATTACATTGTTTGTCGCCAATGTGTAGTTTTCGTACGTACTTTTAGCCAATTTGCCTACCTTTGCCTACCAAAGCGACAAAGAAATACATCGGCGTACATGCCATTGTTAATAATGTTGAAGTTTGCCCATGTAATGATATATATACAGGGCGTCCCAGAAGTCGACGTCAAGCTGGAAACAGGGGATAGGCCATATCGTAATAGTTATCAGAAAAATATAAGAAAATCTAAGTCGTGTACTTTTCAAATTATAGTTTAGGAAAATGGAAAAATCGAAAAATCTACACCATGTGATGGTCTTGTAGTTCCCATTACTACAAATTTCAATTTTTAAGAAGATGTCAAGCTTGCATTGCAGTCCAGAAACGCAGCAATTTTATCACTGAATGCCACTTAACCGCTAAATAAACAATTTAACTGATGAAGCTTAACCTCAATTAGAAGTGCGGATTTAACATTTTTCAAACGAAACCAGGACTATCGATACATTGTATAAAAAGTTACAGCACCTTCACTGCAATGACTTTGAATCGCTCTCTAAAGCAGTCAATTTACCAAAAATGATGCTTACAATAAAGTTCATAAACCACGTGCAATCTACGAAAAAAGTTATTTCAGGTATATGTTTGACTATTTGTGAAAAACGGCATTTGTATTTTTGAGGTCAGAATTATGCCGTTAGCGGTCATTTTAAGAAACTGAAAGCAACTAATATCGTTGCGTTGCCGTATAATATTGTATATACTGTGACAATGGCCAATGTCTGGCGGATGGGCGATCGTTTAACAGTTCAACCCCTTCCTGTCACTCGAACAAATTAAATTATATTTTGCCCTAGCTGGAATGCCTGTGCCGACCGGTTTTGTTTCTACAGCTGACGTTTTTCGGGGGATGGACGGTAATGCATTTGAGGACTGTCATAGCACACCGTGTCTGGACGTGCAACTCGGTATATGACATTGACATGGCACCAATATCAATGCTTGGGCATTTCTTCGTTTTCTAGGGGTGTCCTAACATCACTATAAGAAACAGCTAATATCCTACATAAGACACATACAATCAAGTTATCAGTCTTTGAACAATATAGTATTTGTTATTATTTGAAAATATTGCAAAACCGCTTCGAAGATACAGCGCGGAAAGCTGTTTCCATTATTTTACGAAGATACGAAGCGTTTCAGTCTACATAAACCTGGTCCCGGGCTCCTGGTATTTGTAGTATTGCATTTCAGCTGGAGTTAATTAATCACTTTGAACAGCAATCCCTTCCGAGGGATCTAGATACTGTGTTACAGTTTTTCTATGGTCGACTAAAAATTAATTATATTTCGATAAAGTAAATTATCACAACGTTTTTCTTATTTAGAATAATAATTTTACAGCAGTTCTTAAAAATACCGAATTTTATTTTTATAATAAAACACTTCTCTTGGTCTAAAATTTTATGGTAGGAAATCATACTCTACTCTAAATCTCGTTAAAGGTGATTTTTTATAATATCTGTCGACCGTAAATACGAGAGCTGAAGGTGACTTGATGCTATCTCCGGTGCTCTCGTGTAGGAATTCAACGGCCCGCTATCCGATTTTGTGCAATAGGTTCACACGCAGTGCTGCGCCATTATCGGGTGGTGTAGATTTTAATAGAAATCGGCCTACTATATTAGTGAGTTTTTTGTCGGAGATCCATTTCACACCCTCTTGAGGATTTAGACGTAGACGCAGCATTCTCATCCATCGAGTTGAGGGGCACCGTCTGCAGTTCGAGGCGAATTTAAGTAGGCTCCTGTGAGGAGCAGTTCCCCATTTCTCTCATTGTTCGAGGGTTATAACTTCGGGTATCGAGTTACATCTGGGTCTTCCTGCCCTCTGTTGCCTTCCTGTGATAGCCAGGCACCTTGCCAAGGTGTCTACCAAGACTACTTTTTACTTTTTTATTTCTTTTGTTCAATATCATCAACCATTTGCATCCAAAAACCAAAGTACAAAGAACCTCACCTGTGGTCTCATTAACTACCGACTAACTTTGTTCTCACAGCGGTATGATAATGTTTTCATGTAGTCGCAAAATGTACCTGACCTTCTTTGATTATATCATAAATAATGCGGTTTTGGCAAGAACATTAGAGGTTAAAGATCTTGGTGCTACATCTTCCTGCAGGTTGTTCTTTTCAGCTCACGTAGCACTCATTAGCTCCAAAGCAACAAGGGTACTAGGCTTTGTAATGCGTAACTAACGTTCTTTCTAACGAATCAGCACTAAACGTTTCAAAATATGTCCAAAGAAAACTTATTCAGTGTTGTATATCTAAAACTGGTGACCTGTATCCAGAAAGGGAGCCCAGTAAATTTATTCTGCTACGCCCTTACAATCTATACTTTTTACAATTAAGACGTTCCGTTGCTGGCTTGAAATTCCTGCATAACGAAGTGGATGCACAAGAACTTCTCCAGAAGTTATATTTTTTCATGCATCATTTCTTTTCGAGAGGGACTCTTACATTTTACTGCAATACTTTCGATTCAAGCATATGGAATTCACCGTTATATTCTATATGCAATAATTCTAGCACTATAGCAGACAGTTCTGACATCAGTTTCCACCAAGGAGTAGGTAGTTATACCAAGAGAAAACGGACAAGGCGAATAATTCGGAGAGCGACGAGAGATGTAGCAAAAAATATGCTGTCCACAAAATAGCTGATGACGTCTAAACACGTGCTTGTTCTTATTTGGTTAGGGATAGATCCGGAGTTGCCAGATACATAATACTTTTTGGCTTTTTGGCTGAATTTCACTTTTGTGTGGATATATATTAAAAGTGTGGATATTCTTCAACCGTTTGTAGCCTACGAAAGATATTTTTCAATCAGGTTATTTATACACTTTTCACGAATTCTCTTCGCGTCTTGTGAGCAGACGTTACTCTCAAAAGCTAAAATTATTGCTAATCAACTTTTAGAGCCCTATGTGGAATATAACCAGATTTAGATCAGTAGCAAAAGAGAAATGTCAGCTTACAATTTTTTCTAGCCTCACCAATCGTCGGTATACCTATGTGACATAATTACCAGCTATCTAGACAGCCTGGCCTTGAGACGACGTGTTTAGTTATTTCGTATGACTTTATGATGTAATTCCCAAAAAATCGTGAAGATTTCATTCAACTCAGAATAAATATAGCTTTTTATAAAAATTTTATGAGAGCTTAGCAACACCGCTTCGGTAAGTGCAGAGCTATCTATGAGCGAATCGCTGAAGCTAGGACGGTCTGCTCATAGATCTCTGTTTTTTTTGTAAACCAGTAATATACCCTCGCTCCTTTGTCTCTAAGGTGTCGAGATTGTGGAACAATCTACAAGAGGAGACTTTTCCCAGTTCTACTAACCTTAGGCAGTTCAAAAAGCGTATTAGCGAAGTTTCTTTGGGATACTTATATCAACCGCGGTGCTCTTGCATTTACGCTTCTACCTGCGTGGCAACTTCGGTTGTTCTATGTTGTTGTTGCTGTATGCACACTGTTAAGTTACTTATAGTGTAATTGGATTAGTCTATTGGGCTAAATATAAAGTAGATATAAATAACAGAAATTGAAGGGTAAGACGCGTCAAATGTATTTTTTATAGAAAAAATCTAAAATTCGCCGAAAGCCCCATCGACAATCTCTGGAATGAATGGGATAATGGAGGGAACCCGGATATTATTAAGCTTAGAAGTAAGAAGCTATACAGATCTATGCAAAACATCCCATCATACATGAAACAATCAGTCATTCAACATTAAAATCCTGATCTCAGGCCATCACAAACAGCAAAATACATCAAAATAGATTGCTTATCAGTATATGTGAAAGTATCTAAAAAGAATAACATCACATGACAAGCTGAATTGAAATTTCCTCGGCATTCGGAAGGCATTTCCATTTGAATCGAGGTATCACGCACGACGGCATCCGAGATACGTCCTCCTCCCTTACCTTGAGAACTTCCACCCACTCCACGTGTGACATCGGAGGAAATAAGAGAAGAACGCTACCGTCAAGCGTTCTCGTAACATTGCAAAACACGTCTGGGCCCCGAAACTAAAACAATGCAAATTGTAGAATTTTAAAAATACGCTCTACAATAGTATACTGAGTGACAAGAAAAGGTAAACACCCACGTATGTTTATTAGAATTCAATAATTTTGTTACATATCGATTTATTTTGCCATGAACAACAAGCGATAAAATGGCCAGGTTCTTCTGTTAAGTTTTTGTGGTGACTGCATCTATTGTTGGGTGATAAAGAAGCATTTAATTTTTGTACATTTACGGTGCCAGTTAAATGTTAAATTTCGTGTAGCGTGAAGCCGGTCTATCGATAAGAGAATTTTCTAGGAGGACCAACAGAACCTAACACAGCATACTGCAGTGTGAACGAGCGTGGACTCAGGAAGGCCGAGGACATCGAGCGAGGGGTTCTGAACATCCCAGAGGAACCACAGAGCGACAAGAACGCCGGTTAAGACTTCTGGCTCTGAGAGACAGATTCAGTAGTACTCCAGCCATAGCTAATCAGTGGTTTGAAGAGCATGGAAGGGTGGTAAAATTTAATCATTTTACTAGTAAGGGACACTGAACATACGTATATGCCCAAAATTATTAAAATCGGATAAACATATGTAGGTGTGTTTACCTGTTTTTGTCACTATAATCAGGGGCAGAATCCAATTTTTGGCACCATAATACCTTTTGGCCTCAATGATGGGACTAATGATAAGTTTTCAGAAAAAACAAGATGCTTTCAAGTTATTTCGCAAAATAAAGGAGGTAATAAGAATGAAAATGATAATAATCATAATAGCATTTTATTGCTCAACAGAAAATTCCACTTACCGGGCAAATACTTCAAAAAATAGTCACATTTCATTAACATCTAAATATAGTGATGAACATAACATATACAAGTTATCAACGCAAACAAGTCAAACTACTAAGTTTGAACTTATTCAAGATATTGTTGGTGTACACATTTTTAAGTTACTCTAATAGGTGATTTCAAAGGTAAATTAGTTTGTACACGTTCATAAGAGACTACTGCATTGAGACGTGAGTGAAACCTAGGCACTAGGAAGTTAATTTAATACAGTATGGTAGATGAAACGATTCCGCCATCAAGAACTATATAAAGAAATATATGCTCACGACGAGATGCCAATTAAGCAGAGTCAGACTTAAATCCCAAAAATTTCAAAAATCTCGTCTAAACATAGTATATACGAGTACAGTTAAAATAATATTAGTATTAAGGAGACACGACAGATGCATATTCCAACTTAAAACGGACAAAATTTAAATAAAGTGACTTGAGTGAGGAGAAGTTTAACATATGTGTGGCCTAACATTATGTTTGCATGACTGGTAATATTGTAGATTGACTGTCAAAGCTCAATCGGCAGTAAAAGGTTACAGTGGTACTCAGTTTTTTTTTTCAGGTAAATGTTCAAACTTTGCATTTAGGGTCATTCTTTTGTTTCGACAACATTTATCAAGAACATTAAGTCTTATTTGCTGCCATATGCCGTCCTCTAAGCTACTAACTTATATTATTATATTTCCAAACCATCTGCAAACAGTAAGATGCCGTGATTTAAGATATCACACAAGTCATTGATGAACAGTAGAGGACCTAAATTTGAGCCTTGTGATACTCCTGGATGGCAATAAAACAGCTTGATTGATGCGCGTTGTATGTAACACGAAGCTGTCGATCGGTTAAATAAAAACGCTGAAAGGAACCGGAGTTCTCACCGAAATCCAACTTCCCCAATTTTTACAGAAGCACTGAGCTGTCTAATTTGTCAAAAGCTTTAGTAAAATCTGTGTATATGACATCAATGCATCGTTGTTTATCCAATAACAATATAATATAGTATACCTATAGTAAGAAACTTTATCTCGTGATACAACCTTAAACATGGTTTTTCAACATTTTATTGAAACTAATCGCCATCCTCTTCCTCATGATCCTCATCATCTTTGCAAGTCAATTCAGCGGGCAACAGCAACTGCAGTCTCCTGGGGGATACTGACTCAAGCTGATGATCAGGATATCGGACGAGATCAACATATTATTTATAATGCCCTCATTCTTTTCCTCGAAAGCGCTCACGATATCTCTTATGGTCTTTATTCTTTGCTTCTTGATACTGTCCTGAAAAATGACGTGCAACCTGTAAATAATCATGAAGCAGTGAATTGATAAATTATATTACAACACTTAAGATGAAATTCACGAATGAGACACCTACATATTGCCGTTTAAGTTCTAACATCGCGTAACTCAAAATCAACAACTATTTAGGACAGCAAAAAACCAACATATGCTTGAAATACTGCTTACTAACGACGTTTCGGCCAGCACGGTAGACTTGTTCAAGTACGTGCATGTCTTAGTTTTTTGAGTTACCCGGTATTAGAACATAAGGACGATATACCGTGGTGGCCATTTACCATTGAGGTTGGCCGATTTCAGTGTGTTTGAGAGAAACATACAATACGTATATCAGAAAGAGTGCGGTGAGTTAGAGTGAGTGCCCAATTGAAGAGTGATCGGCTCCAAGAACATCGAGTCTGTGGACGCCTCATATATGTACACTCACTCTAACATAAGTTTATTTCTCTCTCTATCTCGAGGGTACACATTAAATACGGTACCGTGGTGGTAAATGCAACAATAACTATCGATTGAAATTAAATTATTACTTCCAATGCGTTAGCACCATGTCTGAAATGATATACAGGGTGTAAACGTTATGATAGTCATTATTTAAATGGGTGATAGAGGGGGTTAAGAGAAGCAAAAAGTTTCATATAACATGGGGGTCAAAACGGCATTTTTTTAGAGAAAAGCGACTGTAAAGTAAAATAAAATCTGACAACGCCGCAATGCCAGACGCAGATTACGACGGAACGCAGTGTAAATAGAGATGGAGTTTGTTATTTTTGGCTCTTAGGTATTATTTCATTATTTGATAATGTACTCGTAAAATGCAAACAATTAAAAAAACGGAATTACCACTAACTGCCTCAGCGCTTCACCTGGTTTGTGAAAGTTTGTTGAACGTATTAAATAAATCCACTTATAAATAGGGAACACAATTTTGATACATACATTGTTTTTCTTTTTAAAACCCATACTGCACTTTTTTGTGTTTAAAGAAGGTGTTCAAAATGTCGTCCTCCACTTTCCACACGAGTTTCATTACAACGAACCCAGTTTCTTTTTATGCTAGGTCCTCGAAGTTGTCCATTTATTATTTCAGCCGCATTAAAATTTTTTTCGTGAAGTTGTGCTTCGGTTGTTATTAGACCAGCCCCATAAACCATCCCTTTAGGTTCTCCCCAATACCAGAAATTCATCGGATTGAGATCAGGAGATCTTGCTGGCCATTTTCGAGGATCAGGAGCATTTCGACCGATCCAGCGATTTGGATAATGTTCATTCAAGTACTGAATGACGCCTCTAAAAATAAGTGGTGGTGCCCGTCATGAAGAAACCACAAATTCGGTCTCCGTTGTAATGGCATGTTGTCTAAGGTCTGTTCCAAAAGTTCTGGTAGGTTATTGGCTAGATAGCTAAGGTATCCTTCTCCTGAAAACTTTGGGGGTAACTCGAAAGGACCAATTAGCTGATCGTCAAGAATACCCGCCCGAATATTTATTTTAAATCGTTGTTGGAAATGACCTTCACGAATGGTATGAGGATTTTCTATGGCCCACGTGTGAGTATTATGGAAATTTAATATCCCGTCTCGCGTAGAAGTACATTCGTCCGTCGCTAGAATGTTTTTAAAAAAATCCGGATTTTCAATGTTTTTGTGCAAAAACCTGTCTTTCACGAGTGCGAATATTAGTGGGCTGGACACTTCCTGTATATCGAAGTCTTTGGTACCCTTGCACAAATGTCCTTCTGTGTGGGTGTACCCGTTGGCGAAATCTGTCGCGATAAATTTGAGCTGCAAGATTTGAATTCTGACGGCCTTCACCGTAAACTAATAACATGTCGGCGAACTCTTGATTCGTAAATAAACACGATGACGTACGCGAACAAGAACAAAACAACACGCCCGATGCCTGATAACTAGCCACTGTTACCGTTTGCGATCGATTGCCGGTTCGATAAGAATGATGAAAGGTCGACGCTCTGTTGTCATGTGTGTTTTAAATATTTAATTTAATGAAACTTACTTACTTACTGACTACAAATTTTGGCTTAACTCAGAAAAACTCAATGCCATTTATTTGTTAATTACCCAATTTAAAAACGTTTTAGATTAGATCATAAAAATTAGTAAGATTGTGGTCGATATAGAGCACTTAAAGTTGTAAAATATAAAGCCATTTAGAAAAAAATCTATCGACTTTTGGATCATGGGTCATATGAATTTTTTAACTTGTTTCGACCCCCTATTACGCATTTCAATAATGGCTACCATAACGTTTACACCCCGTATAAAGGACCCAAGCATCGAGTTCCTGACTCTCAAGTACTGAATACCTCCAATTATCATAACGTACGATCTTACAAACGCGATTCTATAATCAAAACGGTCACCTTGTAAGGACACCTACGTAATAAGAATGTTCGATGGTGTGAAGAGAAGACGCCAGACAACCAGAGACCAGACCGCAGACAAGCATGCAATTGCTTCATTTTTCTCCCTATGCCGTTCATAAATAACACACCTCCTAATCTGGGTTTATCAAAGCAGCTGCTGTCAACACCCCGCAGAGTGGCATGCTGCGGTTACGGATGAACGTTGAGCGTGAGCGATTTTTCGGCATGCCGATTTAGACGACGCGAAAACCTCGCATGCGCGGGAGATATTTCCCAATACGATTTATGCTCATAATCACTCTTGTTGGATACTCCTAACAGGAGACGGAAAAGCCATGTCAACATACGCACAGTGTGACAAAAAAGCGAATCTGGTGGTTCAATTGTCGCAAAATTACTGTACTCTGT